ACGCAGAACAAATGTGAGTAAAAAGAATAAGCAGTCACAACATTTTGATCAGTTAGTGCTTAACTTTGTAATACATGGAAACCACGCTTTTAGTATTGTCGATGAGGAGCATTTTAAAAAAATGTTGAATGGTCTCAATTCCAATTATTCGCCATTGAGTTCTACTACTCTTACTGTCAACATTCAGAAATTATTTAAAATAAAACAGAAGGAAGTCATCGAAACATTAAAGACCATTACAAATAAAATTTCCATAACATTTGATTTTTGGACTTCTATCACAAACAAACCGTACGTGGTTGTAACAGCACACTTTATAAACAATAGTTCTACGTTGCAGTCATTCATCCTGGACTTTGATTTAATACCATATCCACACAAAAGTGAGAATATTCTGAATAAAATTGTAGAAATATTCGATTTATATGGATTAAAGAAAAAAATTCTTTCGATTACTACCGATAATGAGAAATCGAATGTGAAGTGCTTAGAGTTACTTAAGCTATTTCATGATGATTACGAAGATGTGATCCATACAAGGTGTTTGGCACATATTTTAAATTTAGCCGTTAAGAAAGGATTACAAGAGGTTCAAAATCCTATAGCAGCTGTGTCTAAATTAGTGAACGTAATTAATTTTTCGCCGAAAAAAAAACAGGCATATTTCGAAGCCTGCACCACATTGAACATGCCACAGTTAGGTTTGGTAAAGGAAATTAATATTAGGTGGAATTCTACCTACCTGATGTTAAAACGAGCATTCGAAATTAAAGATGCTCTGAATTACATTTGTCAGAACAATACTGATTTTCAACAATATTTAATTGAAGATTCACAATGGAACCATGTAAAATTATTCATGGATTTGTTAATGCCATTTTATGATGCCACATTATTATTATCAAAGTCAAAATATCCAAGTATATACTATGTATTACCCATACTTGATGTTCTTCTAAATCAAACTTCTAATGTTGAAATAGATGATGACCTTATAAGAAAAGCTGCTGCAGCTATGTTTGCCAAGTTGCAAGAATTTTCACCTTTACTGCGTACTGATTATGCTAAGTTTTCTGTCGTGTTGGATCCAAGGCTAAAAACTGATTATTTTTCTGGAATGAATGATTATGAAGACCCTCTGACGTCTATAACCTTATTTTATAATCACAAATATAACCTTCAAAATCAAGGAGATCAACAACCTGAGCCTTCTATATTGTCGGATTCATCGCCAGCAAACTCGGCTAATACATTTTCTTCGATTTACAAACGGAGAAGAAGTAACGAGAGTGAACTTCAAAAATATTTATCATATCCGATCGAGACAGAGGAAACAGATGTTATATCATGGTGGAAAACGCAAGAAAAAAATTTACCACATTTACAATCTATGGCGTTTGATATTTTATCAATACCTGCTACAAGTGTCCCCAGCGAACAATCATTCTCTAAGGCAGGAAATTTAATTAATAAAAAAAGAAATCGTCTGGGTGACAAAAGTATAAGATCTTCAATGTGCTTGTCATCGTGGCTAATTTTTTTTGGAAACAATGTATAACAATTAGGTACTTTATTATTTCCAATTTCAAATAATATTCGTTTTTATTTAATTTGAAAATAAATGCAATACAAAAATACTTGTTTTATTCATACTAAGCCATAACCTGAATAATGGCTATAGCCTTATAATAAGCCTACTACTCGAAAAAGACTAGTCGGAAATAAAGCCTAAAAGGCTATTTAGGCCTATAGGTTTTTTTTTAAACCTATAGGCTTTTTAAAATGAGTAGCCTTTTAAAAGCCTAGTAGTCTATCATGGCCAAAAAAAGAACTAAATAGGCTTAATTTTAGGCCTAAAAGCCTATAGGCCCCGGGAACACTAGGTGAGTTGCTTCGTGATGTTCGCAAGAGCAATCCGTATTTCTCCAATTTGCGCTGCTATATCAGGATTGATTTTTGATGCAGTTGCAGGAGACTGGGTATTCTTACAATCGTTACAGCGCCAGGCGGCCTTCCGATCGCCGAGTTTGCGAAAATTGGTCTCCGTGATGCCAGCACAGGGAAAGTCGAATTGGCGTTTGCATGAACTACACGCCGGACCATCCGACACGTTACTTCCNCAAAAAAAAAATGATTTTTACATGAGGTATACAAATAAGAGTAAATGGATTTATTTCAATAAATTGTCTATTTACATAATCAATTGCATGAAAAGGCGTTTATTTTTATATATTACTTACTAATTATGCTAATCAATGAAATGATCATTTACAGAATGTTTACAACTATTTTGGCGTAGTTCAAAAGAGGTTAAAATATCGATCGATTTCATTTATTTTATGTCTCAAAGAAAGAGGATCAATCATTAAAATAGATGACCATTTAGATTTTTTTATATGCCGTTTTAGCTAATTTAAAAAGATCATTTAAATACATGCCTTTTTTTTTGTTGCCTATTTTTGGTGTGCTGTTACCTTTATATTAACGCTTTTTTAATATCTATTAATTAAGCTTTGTAACAGTCGGAGTTATTTTATTTTCTATTTAGGATAGACGCTACGAAGAACTGGTTCATCACTTAACCTATTACATAATATAATATCTCAAATCAATTTTAATATTTTTTAAAGGTTCCGTACATATTTTTTGAGCCGTGTTTTGAATTGTTGTCGAATTAATTTGGTTTTACATAATTATTTTTGAAGGTTCCGGATAATTTAAGTAATTTTAAAATCCTTCTGAGGACATTTTAGATAGTCCCTTGGAGCCTGCTGACGATATAAAAGGTGTTGAAGAGACTCTCAGCAAGGTTAAAAACAATCTAAAATCAAATTTAGATAGGAACACTTTGTTACGTACACAAAACTATCTAACGGCCGNCCTGAGACTTATATTAATTATTAATAAAAAAATTTGGCTATTCTTTTGTTTCTCTTTTTCTTCCTCTTAAATAGATTTTGTTACCGTCATATCTAGAAGGCCGGTACAGCATTGCTTTAGGTGATTGTGCGTGGAATTGTCTTGAGGGACCAGGAGTATTGAAAGGGCGTGAAGGGCCAGGCATATTAAATGGCTTCAATGGCGGGAAGTTATAGGGCTTAGGTTGTAACGCAACGGGTGTCTGAGCGCCATAAGAGATTTTAGGTTGGTTAAATGAGGGCATAGACTGCAACCTTCTGTCGGGAATGTATTCATTACGATGCTGTAAATACAGGGTATTCATCTCTTCGTGCACAAATTCTAATGCCTGTTCGATTGTATCAGGTCGCATGCATCGAATACGTGACCCTAACGGGTCGCGGAGACCACGTAGATATGATTGTAGTGTTAACTTCTTATATAATGTACGTTTGGCCTCAATAGTGCTCGGTATCGTTTCATGCAAACTGATATAAGTTATAACAATGCTAAACAGATTTTGACACTTTTCATAAAATTTCTGCGGGGTTCCTGAACCCTGGGTAAGTAGTGACAAATCATTATAGAGCGAGGTCTCATCGCGGTGATCGGCAAATGTATTTATTAGAATTTTACGAATGTCATTCCAGTTCTCCGGGATACCATTCGAATTTATTGTAGTAGAGGCGGCCCCTGTGATCTTGTTTAAGATTCCATTAATTAGGGACAAATTACTCAATCGATACTCGTCACCTCCTCTCATAAATTGTGCTACTAATTGGTCACATAAATGAATAAATCGAGTAAGGACATTAGAGTTCCCGTCAAACTCAGGAACGAGCCGGAGGGCTTTATAAATCTGGTCTACAATTGAATCACTCATCTTACTGGATTCAAGATTAATCTCTTCGTCTATAATTTCTAAATCTCTATTCGAATCTAATGTTCTCAATCTATTATCTATACCTAACCTAAAGGACCGTGATTGTCTTGGATGAAAAATATTGGTAGCATATAGGGACACTAAAATAAAGGAAAGCAACTCTAGTAAGATCTAGGTACTTACATAAGCATTTTCGATTTCTCTGCCGTATCGATGTCTGGATACACTCTGGACTGCAGCTCTTGTAGGTTCTGGATAGCCGTTCGCCGTGATCGATTCACTGACTCTACTTTACGACTATCCTACCGACTGCGCCAATTACGAAGGCTACAGTCGAAGGGTGCAAAGAAATGTAGAAAATTAATTAACTTAATTTATTGGATAAAATTAATTTAAATTACAGTAATAATAATTAGCTAATAGGTGACAGATGATCGATGTAAGAATCAAGAGTGAAATTTGGAGCGGCCGCGATCGAGGTCGAGTGCGGCGGCGGGTGCTGCGTCGGCGCTTCTTGCTAGGCCTTGGTTTCTATGCGGCGACGTAGTCGCGTAATTGCTAATCAGCAGTATCGGTGACCTACTAATACGTAACAGGTGTCTATGGATAGGGCTCGCCGAGACGAATCCAAAAAGCCGAAAAACGCCGGGGGTGGCCCTAGAAAATTTTGTATGAAACGATGTCAATCGAACGTCACGGAAGTGCTAAACCGAAAAACCGAAAAGGGTGAATCTATTTAAGCGAAAAAATTTTGAAAATCCGACCAAAAATTACCAAGTTATAAAATTTTGTATGAAAAAATTGTAAGTCAATATTAAAAATCTAAAAAATTGAATAAAATCGCCAGGAAGGGTGCTAGGGGTCACGAAAAAAAATGGCGCTCAAAATGATGTATATGTATAACCTATAGGTAGGCGTAGGAGTATTTTTTTTTTTTTTAGCAGCTTTATGATAAGGATTTTATTTTCAAATGATTCTTTTTATTTCTTTCTTAATTTTTTGCATGCGATTTGCTTATGCCTGCTGGCTTAATAATAATTTTACTCATATTTTCTTTATTTTTCTGAAATGCTTTTTCTTTTGCATTTTACTTTTCTTTTGCATTTTTCATTTTTCTAATTTCTAATACTATTTTATTTAATTTAATTTATTTCTAGAAGATTAGGTGAGCACATTGAGCTTCACGATGCACAGTTTGGTTTCAAACCAGGTCTGTCCACAGAGAGTGCCATCTTCTGTCTCAAGCAGACTGTGCAGTACTATACAGCTAGAAAAACCCCGGTTTATGCTTGTTTTTTGGACTTATCGAAGGCATTCGATTTGGTGTCGTACAATTTATTATGGAATAAGCTGCATTGTGAAACTAATGTGCCCACTGAAATCATATCCATATTTAAATATTGGTATGATAATCAGAATAATTGTGTAAAGTGGGCTGGCTCGCGGTCCGACATGTATTTTTTTTTTATTTATTTAAACTTTTATGCCAAAATAAATTTGTACATAAGGCGAACTTAATGTATGGGTTGCAGTGTGGGGTGAGACAGGGAGGGTTGAGCTCGCCCAAGCTCTTCAACCTATACATGAACGGGCTGATCAGGNTCGGTTTTAATTTTTTTGTTAAAATTATTTTTTTTCATGCTTTTTAGTTGATTAGTCCTTGTTATTGTCACTGAAGAGGGACAGTACCTATGTTTAATCACATCACATCAATCATATCACAATCCAAGTGTAAATAATCTTCCTAGCAAAATACAGGCTCCCTACTTTAAATATCGGCAACTAAAAAGTATCAATGTATTATATTACGAAATTGATTATTTACAAACATCTAATGGACGTGTATTTCTGTGAATAAATGAATTTGAATTTGAATTTGAATTTGTGTCAATGTATGTATCAACAAATGAGTATTGAGTATCATCTAACTCCTAACTTATGTTGTTTGACCTTTCATCATCAGCTCATCTTAAATACCTGAAATAATACAACTGTATGTANTTTATAAATAAATACAAACATATAGCGGACAAAGCCGTAGGCAAAAGCTGAGTACCTCTATTATGCTATTCTCACGTATAAAAAATATTATCTAGGTACTGTAAGTCCAGCAGTGGACGTCATTTGGCTGAAACGAACGAACGAACGAACGAACGAACTGTAAAGTTTATCAAGTGTAAGTAAAAATCCGTTTAGTAGTTTTTACGTGAAAGAGTATCAAACATCCATACTCACAAAGTTCCGCATTAACTTACGACATTAGTAGGTAGAATGCTAAAACTGAATAATTTTAAATCTATACTTAATATTATAAAGCTGAAGAGTTTGTTTGTTTACTTGAACGCGCTATAGCCCATTTATTGAGGAAGGCTATAGGCTATATACTATCACGCTACGAGTAAGTAATAGGTGCAGAGCAAAAATGAAAAATGTTGCGAAAACGGGTTTTCATGCATACGAAGTCGCGGGCACAGCTAGTTAATCATAATATTCAACAAATTACTTGCTCAGTGACAGTGATTCAACTAGCAGCCGCCCGCGATTTCGTCATATTATTTTCAATCCTTTAATAAATAAATTCCGTTCTTAGTGGATGTCTACACCCTATAAGGAAACCTGCCAAATTTCAAGTTTGTACCTAAGTGTTAGTTAATACCGGCCGGCACCAATACCTATCAAAATTGTAATTACAGTAGAACGCCGATTATCCGAACGCCGATTAACCGAATCGCCAATTATCCGAATCGGTCCTAAGCGTAATATAAAAAATTTAAACCAAGTAATTTTTGTTTTGTTGTATTGTAACAAGTTGGAACTCACAGGAGTCTAGATATTTTTCAACTGAGCGTTATTGTAGAACTCTAAACACAGTTAATAAAGTATATTCTATGTGTGTCAGTTCGTTTTTAACTCGTTTTTTCTTTATTACTAGTCTATGATACTTCTAAAGGTATACTCAAAGGGAGACCGTTTGGTGGAGTGGCACTATTGTGGAGGAAGTCTGCGTTCCCGTGTGTGTCAATAGTGGAATGCCATAGTGTGCGTTTGGCGGCTATTAAGATTCTCCTTGGCGGTGGCAAATCAGTGTTAGTGATTACTGTGTACATGCCTACTGACTCGGCGGCTAATCTTACGGACTTCGCGGAGTGTATGGGTGAAATAAGTGCGTTAGTTGAAACAAACAATATAGAATCGGTATTCGTATTAGGGGACTTCAATGCACATCCTGGTGAGCAGTTTTCGCATGAACTATTGAACTTTTGTACTGAACAATCGTGGTCGTGTATTGACATGGAGTTTTTACCTACTGATACCTATACTTATGTGAGCGAGGCACACGGTTCCCGCCGATGGCTCGATCACTGTATAGTAACTAGCGCCGCGAGGCATACTGTGGTCAATGCCTCGGTCTTAAATCATAATGTATATTGGTCAGATCATTATCCTTTGTTAATTGAGTGTAATATAAATAAAATCTTGTCAAAAGTTGTCACCTCAACATCAACTTATAATAAAGTTAAATGGGGTGAAAGAGATAATGACCAAATAAAGAGATATTTTGACGCATGTAATAGTAGGTTACGTCTAATAGATTTTCCTGCAGATTTTTCTAAATGTGGCGACAAAACATGTTCTAATATCGACCATAGAACAATACTAACGTCAATGTACCATGATATTATATGTGTTTTAAAAGAATCAGCAGAGAGTACTTATAGGGAGAAAAAGCGTAAAAGACATAAATGTATAACTGGTTGGAATAAACATGTGAGTGTTGCTCACAGGGAGGCTCGGTTTTGGTATCAGTCTTGGTTACAATATGGTAAACCCAATTACGGTTTTATTCATGATAAAATGTGTGACTCTAAAAAACTGTTTAAAGCTAAATTAAAATATTGTCAAAACAATGAGCAACAAATTAAGATGGACATTATCGCTCAAAATCATACTGAAAAATGCTTTAGTAAATTTTGGAAAAATACCAATAAATTGAACCCGAAACCGAGTCTACCGGCGAGTGTAGCCGGTATGTACGAACCGACCGACATAGCAAATGCCTTCCGGAAGCACTTCAAAGTGGAGTCCCCTCTCCTTCAGGAGTCTAGGGTGTTCGATGCTGGATGTCGTGTCGAGGATTTGTCTGTCAGGTTTTCAGCGCGAGAGGTCGCCTCCATAATTAAAAACATGGTCAGAGGTAAGTCTCCTGGTCACGATGATCTCAGCATCGAGCATCTAAAGTATGCGGGAGTCCATTTGCCGCGAGTTCTGTCTATGTTCTTTAATCTTTGCATAAGTCACTGTTACTTGCCGGAAGAGTTGATGTTCACAGTTGTAGTGCCTATTATAAAAAATAAAACTGGGGATGCCTCAGATTTGTCCAATTATAGGCCTATATCTTTAGCCACGGTTATAGCTAAAGTGCTGGATAGTCTGCTTGATAGAAGATTAGGTGAGCACATTGAGCTTCACGATGCACAGTTTGGTTTCAAACCAGGTCTGTCCACAGAGAGTGCCATCTTCTGTCTCAAGCAGACTGTGCAGTACTATACAGCTAGAAAAACCCCGGTTTATGCTTGTTTTTTGGACTTATCGAAGGCATTCGATTTGGTGTCGTACAATTTATTATGGAATAAGCTGCATTGTGAAACTAATGTGCCCACTGAAATCATATCCATATTTAAATATTGGTATGATAATCAGAATAATTGTGTTAAGTGGGCTGGCTCGCGGTCCGACATGTATGGGTTGCAGTGTGGGGTGAGACAGGGAGGGTTGAGCTCGCCCAAGCTCTTCAACCTATACATGAACGGGCTGATCGGGGAGCTCAGCAGCACATATATAGGATGCCATGTAGGTGGCGTGTGTGTAAACAACATTAGTTATGCTGACGATATGGTGCTGCTGAGCCCGTCGATTGGAGCATTAAGAAGACTTCTACACATGTGTGAAGAGTATGCGGTGGCTCATGGGCTTAGATACAACTCGCTTAAAAGTGAGTTTATGTTGTTTCAAGCTGGTGCGGCCGGGAGTCAGCGGAATGTACCATCTGTTACTCTCGGAGGCTCACAACTAAAAAGAGTTCACCAATTTAAGTATCTGGGTCATTGGGTCACTGACAGCCTGTCAGACTCTGCGGATATTGAGAGGGAGCGTAGGGCTCTGTGTGTTCGCTGTAATATGTTGGCTCGTAGATTCGCACGTTGTAGTAAACCAGTTAAGCTGACGCTTTATAAAGCATATTGTCAATCATTCTACACGTGCGGCCTATGGGCTAGCTTTACGCGGCGGGCTTATAGTGCAGTACGCGTCCAATACAATAACGCGTTCAGGATGTTGTTCGGCCTGCCGCGACACTGTAGTGCATCAGCCATGTTTGCTGAGGCGCAGACTGATTGTTTCTACACTATCATCAGAAAGCGCTGCGCCTCGCTGTGGGCGCGGGTGCGCGGCAGCTCGAACAGCATTCTGCGCGCGCTGGCTGACCGGTGGGACTCCCCGCTGATGCGCCGCTGGCTGCAGCTTCATGCTCCGGTCACTCGCTATGAATACCTATAGCGCAGGAGTCACACTGGAAGCCATATTACATAAATAATTACCTACTTGTCATTAGCTTATTACTAACACTAGATTAAGATTATCATGTTACTAACACATATGGATGTAATGTCTGAAATAAACGTTTTATTATTATTATTATTAATACAATTTTTCTTATTCTAACATGCTTTTCTTCTTTCTATGCTATTACATTTTTTGCCTAAATTACTAACATACAAACGTATATAATTTGCCAATTATACATTGCAGTATGCTTAACTACTATTTCTTTTGTTTACTACATTACAAATTTTGATGCAATAACATATAAAGCTATTCCTACTTGCTTTGTTCAACAACAGACTGTGCAAATTTTCTTTTTTGACATCCATATCAAATTTACAACTTAAATCATAGCGCTCGCGCTCATGAATGGGACACTCTGTGAGGAGATGGATTACCGTCTCTTCGCATGCTGGGTCGCAGGCGCATGATGGGTTGTCCCTGCACTTGAAACGGTTCAAGTACTGGGAGAACCCACCATGCCCCGTCAAGACTTGGGTGAGCATTCCCGTCGGGCCTATCTTCCGGACAAACCTATATGCCTGGATGGCGTCTGGGAAGAAAACCTTTGTTATCGACGCGGTATCGCCCTCTAGATACCTGTTGTTCCACTGATCTAGTGTTGTATCACGAATGACTCTCTTAATGTGTGATACAGGGCACTTGTCGTAATCTGGCTTTCTTTTAAGTAGCAGAGCCGCCTCCTTCGCGAGTTCGTCCGCGCGTTCGTTGCCTGGAAGACCTGCGTGGGCTTTCACCCAGAACAAAGACACAGCTTTGCCCTGGGCCAAGCCCGTCCGCAGGTTCTTCCTAGAATATTCTTCAAGAGGGTGAAGTGAGCTATGGTTTGCGATCGTCTCCAGCGCTGCCCTCGAATCGCTGTATACACCATAACTCTCTTCCCCCCCTCTCAGGATTATGCCCGAAGCTTTCCATATAGCCAAGAGTTCCGCCTGGTAGACTGAGCAGTACGCAGACAGAGCAAGTTTGAGGCTACTGGTCTCGGCCTCATTATTCCATACGGATAATGCGGCTCCGACTTTCCCCTCAATCTTACTTCCGTCTGTAAAGATGCGCACCGCTTGCATGTTAC